CGCCTGGACCTGGCCACGCAGAGCCTGACCCTGGACACCTGCCGGGCGCTGGGCGAGCTGCTGCAGGAGGCACAGCTGACCGAGCTGGTCCTGAGCGACTGCATGCTGAGCGAGGAAGGTGGGCGCGGGGCCCGCAGGGGCGGGGCAGCCCTGGCAGCCTCGGCGTCGGGGTCGCGTCCAGGCCCCGGGCCCCCGCCGCCTCCCCTTGGTCGGCCCGCAGCTCCATTGCTGCACACGCCCGGGCCCTCAGTCCCCCACAGAGAACTGCATCCCACCCGTCTCTGTGGGGGTTCCTCGTCTTGGGCTCTGTAGTTAAAGCAGGCAGCAGGGTCCCTTCCTGGAGCCTGGGAGCAGAGGGCATTGTCCCCTTGGAACAGAGAAACCTTAGGGAGAGTCCCAGGGTGCTGGCCAGAGGTTGTAGGTGCCTCAAACCTGACACAGTGAGGGGGTTACTCGCTTGTGGCATGAACCCTCACTGGTGGGGGAGGGGGCACTGGGACTGTTGTCCCTCCCATGTGTCTGGGAAGGTGTCCCAAGATGGGACCCATAAGGGGAGCCCAGGGCCCCAGGGGCAGAGAGTGACTGCCCTGCCCCCTTCCAGGGGCCACACTGCTGCTCCAGGGGCTGTGTGCCAACACCGCCCTGCGGTTCCTGGACCTGAAGGTGAGGGGACCTGCCATGAGAGCGGGGAGGATGTGGGTGTCCCGGCGACCTGGGGTCCGGGCAGTGGACGGAGACTGTAAGTCCTGTGGGCACACAGGGCTTTGCGCTGTTTCCTGGTGGTCTCTGGCAAGTGTGTGTGTTTGGAGGGTGGGAATGTGAGTTCCAGAGTGTCTCCATAAGCAAACTGAACGAGCCGGTACCAGGAGCCCCACCTTCTGCCCAGAGCCTGGTCTCACCCACTGCCTGACCAGGGCCCTATGGGGGAACCATGAGCCCTGGGTGACAGGTCTGCTTCTTCCTGTCCTAGGGCAACAACCTTCAGTCCACAGGGGCCGAGGCTCTGGGGAAACTCCTCCGACATAACAAATCCATTCAGAGGTAAGGTGGCACCCTGCCCCTACCCTGCCCTCAGCCCCCTGCCCCAGCCCCCTCTTCCTCTGCATCGGTCAGGGCTAGCCTGGGCGGACTGGGTCCTGCCACCTGAGCATCCAAGCCTTCCTGCCAGTTGTCCACGTTTCCCATCCATCTGCGGGGATTAGGCGGGTACAAGTTACTCACCTGGATCCAGACTCCCTGCTAGAGATGTCCAGCCTGCACCCTCCTCAAGACCCCCTGGACCTCATGCAAGCAGGGTGCGCCTTGAACCACGCATGTCCACCCTCCTCACAGCCTCACCCTGGAGTGGAACAATCTGGGCGCGTGGGAAGAGGCCTTCGCCACCTTCTGCCGGGCCCTGGCAGGCAACGTCGCCCTGCGGCAGCTGGACCTCCGCAACAACCAGATCAGCCACCAGGGGGCGGAGGAGCTGGCCCTGGCCCTAAAGAGCAACGCCAGCCTCCAGCAGCTGGGTGAGGCCCCGGAGGCCACCTCCACCAGGTGGCTTCCTCCCTTGGCCCTCGCACCACTTTTTACAAAANGGGCCCTCAGTCCCCCACAGAGAACTGCATCCCACCCGTCTCTGTGGGGGTTCCTCGTCTTGGGCTCTGTAGTTAAAGCAGGCAGCAGGGTCCCTTCCTGGAGCCTGGGAGCAGAGGGCATTGTCCCCTTGGAACAGAGAAACCTTAGGGAGAGTCCCAGGGTGCTGGCCAGAGGTTGTAGGTGCCTCAAACCTGACACAGTGAGGGGGTTACTCGCTTGTGGCATGAACCCTCACTGGTGGGGGAGGGGGCACTGGGACTGTTGTCCCTCCCATGTGTCTGGGAAGGTGTCCCAAGATGGGACCCATAAGGGGAGCCCAGGGCCCCAGGGGCAGAGAGTGACTGCCCTGCCCCCTTCCAGGGGCCACACTGCTGCTCCAGGGGCTGTGTGCCAACACCGCCCTGCGGTTCCTGGACCTGAAGGTGAGGGGACCTGCCATGAGAGCGGGGAGGATGTGGGTGTCCCGGCGACCTGGGGTCCGGGCAGTGGACGGAGACTGTAAGTCCTGTGGGCACACAGGGCTTTGCGCTGTTTCCTGGTGGTCTCTGGCAAGTGTGTGTGTTTGGAGGGTGGGAATGTGAGTTCCAGAGTGTCTCCATAAGCAAACTGAACGAGCCGGTACCAGGAGCCCCACCTTCTGCCCAGAGCCTGGTCTCACCCACTGCCTGACCAGGGCCCTATGGGGGAACCATGAGCCCTGGGTGACAGGTCTGCTTCTTCCTGTCCTAGGGCAACAACCTTCAGTCCACAGGGGCCGAGGCTCTGGGGAAACTCCTCCGACATAACAAATCCATTCAGAGGTAAGGTGGCACCCTGCCCCTACCCTGCCCTCAGCCCCCTGCCCCAGCCCCCTCTTCCTCTGCATCGGTCAGGGCTAGCCTGGGCGGACTGGGTCCTGCCACCTGAGCATCCAAGCCTTCCTGCCAGTTGTCCACGTTTCCCATCCATCTGCGGGGATTAGGCGGGTACAAGTTACTCACCTGGATCCAGACTCCCTGCTAGAGATGTCCAGCCTGCACCCTCCTCAAGACCCCCTGGACCTCATGCAAGCAGGGTGCGCCTTGAACCACGCATGTCCACCCTCCTCACAGCCTCACCCTGGAGTGGAACAATCTGGGCGCGTGGGAAGAGGCCTTCGCCACCTTCTGCCGGGCCCTGGCAGGCAACGTCGCCCTGCGGCAGCTGGACCTCCGCAACAACCAGATCAGCCACCAGGGGGCGGAGGAGCTGGCCCTGGCCCTAAAGAGCAACGCCAGCCTCCAGCAGCTGGGTGAGGCCCCGGAGGCCACCTCCACCAGGTGGCTTCCTCCCTTGGCCCTCGCACCACTTTTTACAAAAAATATATCTTTATTGATTTCAGAGAGAGAAAAGGGGAGAGAGAGAGAGAAACATCAATGATAAGAGAGTCATTGATCAGCTGCCTCCTGCACGCCCCCTACTGGGGATGGAGCCCGTAACCTGGGCATGTCCCCTGACTGGGAGTCGGACCTTGATCTCCTGGATCCTAGGTCGATGCTCAGCCACTGAGCCACACCAGCCGGGCCCTCTTGTCACCTCTTTTGTCCTGTCCCGGAAGCCAGGGGCTGGGGTTGGGAGGATGGGTGAGCCACACTGGTCTCCTGCTCTGTTGGTGATTCCCCCAAAGGAAGCATCCTGGCTTGGCCAGCTACCCAGGTGACAAGAGGTTTCCTTCCAGACCTGCGCTGGAACAACATCGGCCTCCTGGGCGGCCGGGCCCTGGTGAACTGCCTCCCCAGCAACAGAACCCTGTGGAGGCTGGAGCTGGCTGGGAACAGTGTCCCCAGCGACATCCTCAGAGCCGTGGGTATGGGCAGCCTAGATTAAAAACGCAGAATGAGAGCTGTTCTTGGAAACTGCTCATTTGGTTCTTAGATCCCCAAGGGTAGTCACCCATTTCACGATGAGGAAGCTGAGGCAGTGTGGCTTGGAGCCTTGCCCTGACAGCCATTCTGCTGCCTCGGGTAGCATCTGCCCCTGTCACCCCTGAGTTTGTGACTGTGCACATGAGCCATGTGGGAGCAGGACCAGCGGGTCCCAGCCGTGACCTGCACGGTCCCCTCCCATTGGTGATGCTGGCACCTCGGCCCCAGTCCCAGCGGAGCACTCTGCCACTCCCTGTAGCTCCTTTCCCTGCCAGCCACCGAGGGCCCAGGCTTGGGCTGGAACCCTGCACAGCTCACCAGCTCCTGCTGGGTCAGCCTGACTTATGTCACCTCCGGTTTCTTCATCGTTGGCCTGCTTCGGGGTCACGCCAGCTGTTGTAATGACCTCTGACACCACGGCCGCTTCTAGCTGCTCCCTCTCCAAATGTTGCCTGAGTCTCTCCAGAACACGGGAACAAAACAGCCCTCACCTCCTGAAAGTCATACAGTGGCCTTTGACCTTTGGGATGGAGGGAAAATGCCCTTCTTCATGTGTGTCCCCCACCACACACCTGGTGCCTCCTGGGCTCCTGGTCCCACTTGCCCCCCACACCCACGCTGAAGCCTTTCAGCCCTCAGTGCCTAGGGGTCTACATGATTGTGGGGGAGACATTGCTGCCTGTTGACCACTCCCGAGGCTGAGTAGCCCCTGGTGGGTAATGCAGTTCCTTCTGACAGAGCAAGCCATGGACCACAACCAGGACCGGGAGACCACCTTCCGGGAAAACCGCGCCCGCACCCGTGTGCTCAGCAAGGAGGTGCGGCACCTCCAGGAAGAGAAGTCCAAGCAGGTGAGGACGGTACTACCTCTGACAACAGCCTCACCCCCGCCCAGCACTGGCTGCATGGATGAAGGGCCCCCCTTGGTCCCGTGCCCCAGCCATCTTCCCTTCCTCTGGGCCCTGGACCCTCTCCAAGCAGCTGACACCAGACCCTGGTGCTGGCTTCATGGTCTGACTCTCTGGTTGGGTGAGCCACTCTCCCTCTGCAGTCCTGGGCCTTGGTGGGCATCCCCTCTCCTTCCTGCCCCAGGTCCAGCCCCTAACAGGGCTCTGGCTATCTCTGTCCCCAGTTTCTGGACTTGATGGAGACCATTGATAAGCAGCGGGAGGAGATGGCCAGGAGCAGCAGGTGACTAGGGCCGTGGGACGCAGAGCTGGGGCTCAGCTGGGATGCCCAGGGTTCAGGTTGTGGCACTGGCCTCGGGGTAACCTGAGCCTTGTCACCCACCCATGCATGAGGTCGTAGTGTGTGCCTTCTGAGGAAGTCGGCTTGAGGTTGCAGGCAGCCCCAAGGGCTCCTCATCCCAGTGCCTGGAATGCTGTAGGAGCAGGAGAGGCACTGCTCCAAGGGGCCAAGAGGGCTCTGGGTTCCTCTGACCCTCCTCTCTGCCCACAGGACATCAGCAACACGCATGGGACAGCTTCAGGAAGCCCTGGATGAGAGGCACTCCATCATCAATGCCCTTAAGGCCAAGTGAGTGGATGGAGGGCAGGAGGCAGGGAGAGGGCTCCAGAACACTTTGCAGACATGCCCGCAGGACAGAGGAGGGGTTTCAGGCAAAGACCTGAGTTCCTGCGTATAAAGTAAAGGTGGGAAATGGCTTGGTGATAACCCCAGAAGGCTTCTTGGAGGAGGTGAATAGAGGCCTGGGGAAAGTGAGAGCAGGAGGCCTTTCCAAGGCTGAGGTGGGGCTGGGGCGGGCCTGACCCTTCCCTGCTTGCAGGCTGCAGATGACTGAGGCTGCCCTGGCTCTGTCGGAGCAGAAGGCCCAGGACCTGCGGGAACTCCTGGCCACCGCACAGCAGGAGCAGCAGAGCCTGGCACAGAAGCAGGCCAAGGAGCACAGGCTGCAGCAACAGGTGGGTGGGCAGGGGCAGGCTCAGGGGCAGGCTCAGATGGGCAGGCTCAGATGGGCAGGCTCAGATGGGCAGGCTCAGATGACGTGGTGGCAGGTGGCCCACCTGTGGTGCCCTTCCCTGTCTCACCCCTAGGAAGCTGCAGAGCGTGAGTCTAAACTGCTCAGAGACTTGTCTGCTGCCAATGAAAAGAACCTGCTTCTGCGAAACCAGGTAGGGGGTGCCAGGCCAGGCGTCCGTCAGGGAGCCCAGGTAGGGGTGGGGCTGGGCCGGAGCTTCCCCTCCACGGCGCTGGCTTTCCAGGTGGATGAGCTGGAGCGGAAGGTGAAGCTGCAGCAGGACCAGCTGTTCCTGGCCAGGCAGGAATTGACCAACACATCGGCCGAGCTGAAGATGCGGGCCATCCAGGCCGAGGGTGGGCAGAAGCAGGGCCCTGGAGAGGGGAGCCCAGGGGTGGTGAGTGGGAGTCCTGGGAACGAGGGTCCTGGAGGAGCCGCTCCATGCCTCCTCCTGGGCTTCCAGAGCGCCTAGAGCTGGAGAAGAGACGGTCGCGGCAGAGCCTAGAGGACATGGAGCAGCTGCGAATCAAGGAGGTGCCTCCTTTGTGGCCTTTGCTCTCCCCACTGTCGCCCTGGGGCCTGCAGGTGCCTCAGTGTGGCCTGGTGTCCCCAAAGCACACCCCTGGCCAGCTCCACTCACACACCTTGGGGTGCTAGGTGGTGGTCCTCCACCAGCCCCAGCAGATGCCAGCCCCAGACCAGGGTCCAGAAGGGACCCACCTGCACTGGGGGGGTGTCACTGGGACGCACCCTCCATCTTCACTTCCTGAGAAGCCACTTGGGGCAGCCCCTTGGAAGGAACAGGGTCCCCAAGATTCACCTGCCTCCCAGGGTTGGGATCCCGTGTGGGGAAGGCTGGGGAGCCAGCCTGACAGTCCTGTCCTGCCCTGCACCTGGGCAGGTGGAGCACATGACTCGCCACCTGGAGGAGAGCGAGAGGACCATGCAGGAGAGGGTACAGAGGCTGGAAACTGTGCGGCTGTCCCTGGAGGAGGTGAGCACATGCTGGGCGGCTGGCTGGGCACCCCTTCCGTGGCACCCCTCAGGGATCCACCCATGAGACCAGAGGGACTTGATAAAGTGGCATGAGGGCTCTCTTGGCCGTGGAAGCCTGGCGAGCAGAGCCACAGGGCGCAGTGGGTGTCTCTGGTACAGGAATTGAGCCGAGTGAAGGCGGCAGCACTCAGTGAGCGTGGCCAGGCCGAGGAGGAGCTCATCAAGGCCAAGAACCAAGTCCGCCTGGAGGAGGTGAGTCCACAGCCATGGCCAAGGAAGGGCCCTGCCCACTGTTCACAGCACCCACAGGGAGCGGGCCTGAGGTGGACGAAACCAGGGCTGTCTCCTGCCTCTACAGAGGGAGATGGGGGTCAGGGGGCGGCAAGGGGACAGGAGCTCCAGGGGTGCAGGTGGTAGAGAAGAGTCAGAGCAAGGCCCTGGTCCCATCAGCACCACGTCCAGCCCTCCACAAAGAGCCATAATCGTCCAGCCCCAGGGCTTCGGCCATCCATGCATGCTCCAGAGGGCAGAATGGAGTCGGCCTGGGAGGTGAGGGTGGGGAGCCAGGCAGGGGTGTGCCCTCCACGAGGCTCATTCAAGTTGAGTCCATTCAGGATAAAAGTAATGATGAGCGATGTTGCACTTTCCATATTGCAAATAAAAGCTCCCCTGGTCACTCCTCACCTGCTGTCACTGTGTGCATGGGAGCCTGGGGCCACACCCCCAAGCAGCAGGCAGGCTCCTACCCCGCCCTGGTGCTCACCTGCCAGCCCCTGGGCACCCACAGCAGCAGCGCCTGACTCACCTGGAGGAGAAGCTGCGGCTAATGACACAGGCACGGGACGAGGCACAGGGCACCTGCCTGCAGCAGAGGCAGACGGTGGCTGAGGCCCAGGCCCGGGGCAGCCAGCTGAGCCTGCAGGTGGAGGGCCTGAAGCGGCGCCTGGAGGAGCTGCAGCAGGTAGCTGGGACTTTGAGGGCTCCCGGGGGTGCCCCTGGCCCCCAGCTGCCGCTTCACCAACACCCACCACGCCTGGCAGGAGCTGAACAACCAGAACCAAGAAAAGGTGGCTGAGGTGACCAGGGTGCGGACGGAGCTCCAGGAGCAGATCGGCCGCCTGCAGGCGGAGCTGACGGCCCAGGAGGCATTGAAAGAGAAGGTGGCAGCCCTGGAGCGCCAGCTGAAAGGTGAGCTGAGCCCTGGCCCCCCACGCCAGCCCTGCGGGACCCGTTCTCACTTGGGTGGTAGATGGGCGGCCAGGCTGGAGAGCTGAGCTTGGCCTAGGCCTCAGCTCCCAGAGGCACTGATGGGAGGCTGGGTGTGTCTGCATGGGGGGGGCGGGGGGTAAATCCCGCCCAGCCTCTGTCGTCTTCTGGAGCGGGATGCCCAGACTGCGCCCCGCGCTCCCTCCTTACTGAACTTCCTCCCTGCAGTGATGGCGAGTGACCACCGGGGGGCGCTGCTGGACAGGGAGAGCGAGAGCGCCTCTCTCCGCGAGAAGCTGCGGCTCAAGGAGGCGGAGATAGCCCGGATCCGGGATGAAGAGGCCCAGAGGGCCAGCTTTCTGCAAAACGCTGTCCTGGCCTACGTGCAGGGGTCCCCCCTGAGGGCCCTGAGCCCCCAAAAGTGAGGGGGGCAGAGAGGCCCCAGGAGTGGCAGGAAGGTGGCTCTCGAGGGACAGGCTGCCGCGTCCGGGTGTGCTTGGGCAAGGCGTGCAGCTGCCCACTTCAAAAGCCAGTGCCCAAGATGCACTGGCCGCTGGCCGCTGGCCGCTGCAGCTCACCACCTGGTGCCTGAGCGGGCGGGTGCAGGGCCTGGCTGGCCAAGAGGGCTGGAGTGGCCAGTGCCCCTTCCCCGCTGTCCTGAGAAATGTGCCCGCGATGGAAGGAAATGGGAGCAGAGTCCAGCTCCCGCAGCCGCCCGCCTGGTGCTTCGCAGCCACCTGTTACAATGTAGCCGTGGATGCCGCGGGCTGCGTCGAAATAAAGAACTTTTACACTTTGTGATACATTTTCGACTCTGGGCTTTTCTTCCGCATCGGCCTGTGCCCCCCACGGCAGCAGGGCCTCAGGTGACCTGCCTGTCCCAGCAGGAAAGAGCCTCCAGGGTGCTGCTGGGCGCCCCTCCTAAGGGACTGCTGCCCCGCGGGGACAGTTGAGCTACTGCAGCGGACAGGAGAGGCTGGGCTGCCCACCTTGGGGGCACTCTGGTGAGTTCACCAGCTGTCTCCAGGCTGGAGGGTGGGTGGGCCCTGGGAGTGGTCTGCCTAGAAGCGACCACGTGCGCACCGGCCACCCCACGCATGTGCAGGTGGGTGGGAATCGACCGCCTGCGCTGCCCCTTGGCCCGGGGAGCCCCGTGCACCAGGCCCGGCACCTGGGCGGAGCGGGGTGGGGAGGCCCGGAGCTCAAGGACAGGTTGGGGAGGTGGGCAGGGGTCC